ATAACAGAGAAGTGGGACTGGCAAGGGAAATGGCCTGCTAGTCATGGATGAGGGAGAGGAATGGGAAACATTCAATGTATCCATCTGTAGATCATTTGCATGATGCAGGGCTTCATACAATGTTTCTAAACAAGTAAACTAAAAAGAAATAAAAAGTTTTGTTCATGGTAACATTAGCATTGTATACAGAAACAATGGGTTTCTTTCATATCTTGAAGTATTGGTTTATTTAAGGTAGTTGTACCTTGAGCTTGTTTGGAGGTTCTAGAAGGGGAGCGCAGCTATCGTATACCCTTGACCGAAGAAGGGTACACTCCTTCTATCTGGGATGGTCGTCCTCTTCCACCGAGCGCGCAGCTTCGGGAGGAACGCACATGGAGCGGTGAGGGAGGAAGGGGACACCCGCCTAGCCAGTCAGATCAGCCGAATCAACCCTGGCGATCAATGGGGTGACAGATGTCGCAGCCAGATCGCCCTCACATCTTTCCCTCGACTCCCCCTCCGCGTTGGCGAGGCAGTGGGAAGGACGGAGCTCACAGAAGCTCGGTCGTGGGAGAGTTTCATTCAGTGCATGGAGGGAGCCCCGCGAGCAACAGCTTAGCGGGCTGCGCTGCTCCCGCGCCCCCTCAGCGGTTCGCCGCTTCGTCTCCCCTTTCCGCGGGAGCTGAGAATTCCACGTCCTTCATTGAGAAGAAAGAAGCCAGCAGAGCAGGATTTAATACAGGATTGTTTCTGGTGTTCTTCTTATACAAAGTCTGCCTTCGAGGGTGGGGGAAGAAGGAAGAAAAGACTACCAAACATGCCTACAGAAACACTACAGACAGGTAGCATGGTGAAACCTGTCAGCCCCGCCATCACTTTCACTTCAGCCGTTCCACTCTGCATTCTAAACAAAGGTAGTTGGACTTTCCCTCTCCTTTCCTTCTGAAAAGCTCAAAGCAGCTAACAAAAAATCAAACCATGATTTAGCAATTGAGAATATTTGTTAGGAAAGCAGCAGCAGAGATAACCTCCCCTCCTCCTCTTATCTTTATTTATTTGCTTCCAATTAAAGGGGGGAAGAGAAGCATGCATGTGTGAAAAGCAATGTTGTCCAATGAAATTTGATATTGTGTCACACCAGGCCCACAGATTTTTCAAGAAAAATTCAATGGTGCATACCAGGATATCAGCCCGTGTGTAGTTCAGATTCTGCAGTTTGATTGCCCCCCAATGGCAGAACATTCAGAGTGCTCCTTGAAGGCGTGTCTTAAATTTTAATACCATGGGGCTCCAACCATTTGTGCCATATGACCAAGTAAGGCATCTTTCCAACTGCAGCAGCCCCATTTCCGTTGTAAAAGATGGAAAAAACACAGTTCCATGGAACAACAAGCTCTTTGTAAAAGATTTTGGGCTATTATCCTGCCCAACCCTGCTGTAGATCACCTCATGAAAGCTTTCGGCCAAATATCTAATGACATCCCCAAAGACAAGAAAAATCTACTCCTTTACACAACAACAGCTGCCAGAATATTGATTGCAAAAAAACTGGAAGGGGGAGAAAATCCCATCACTATCAGAATGGCAATACAAACTCGGCGAGTTTGCAGAAATCGCAAAATTGACGGCAATTATTATAGGCCACTCAAATCAGAGAATAATTAGAGAGTGGGATGGAGTGAAGGAATACATGAAAAAATATGGTTCCGGAATTGAAATATTAATAGAGAATGTGTAAAACATGCAGGGGTAAGCAAGAAAATAATAGAATCAACTGAATAATTATCAAATTATAAGAACACAAAAAGATGGAAGTAAAATATTGAGATCACACATGGGTGAAGGGGAGTTGGGGTATATGGGAATCTATAATATCATTTATAATGTAATTTGTTAATTTTGTTACATACAACAAATGGAAGCCTAGAGTATTTAGATATATTTTAATTTAGGTAATCTATGTAATAGGCTTATGTTAGAAAATGAATGTGGATTTTGAATTTGATCTTTGTAAAAAAAAAGTTGGTTTTGAAAGAAAAAAGAAAAGAAGAAGAAAAAGAAACCATTTGCAGCCACTGGAATCAGCCAGCAAGTGATCCACAAGAGCCAGATTCTGGTCTTGAAGAATCCCAAGCACATTTATCTTCATTTTTCATTCTGGCCAAAATTGTGCCAATAACCTTAAACTAAATTTGGCATCAATTGTGTCTTTACTTGGGGAGGTCTTGGGGGTCTTAACACACAAGGCACCAAAGTCAGCCATGGAAATCTTCCAACGCACCATAGATTCCATAGGTCCTCTCCAGTTGTACAGAAGATAGAAGAAGAGAGAGAGAGAGGACTGGGGAAAGGATCAGATGTATTAACTCAGTGCATCCAGTAATGAAGAGACCCCCCCCCCCCTCATTCTCTTCCAGATAAACTGTAGATCATGGTTCTGGCCAGGCAGTTTCAGATGCCTTGACTGGTCTTCCAGAAACAACTTTCTGCCCTCAATCTGTTATTCTCTTCCAATGGCCTGAAAACAAAATTTGCAGGCCGGGGAGGGGGGGGGCAGTGAAAGCAAGCCCACTTTTTAATAACTATCGTATTGCTGTATGAAACAAGAAGAAACTTTGCACAAGAAGAAATTTTGTGGGGTTTGTGTGTGAGACTGGGCGGGTTATTATTATTATTATTATTATTAAAGCTCTGAACACTCAGATTCCTCATGCTAATTTACTGGTCAGGAGATTATTTACTGAAATCGCACACTTTCAATATTGCAACTGCTTGTGACAAATGTGGACAGATCTGTCGTTTGCTCAGAAAAAAGGGCAACAAAAAAAACCAACTTTGCATATATGCAGCTTGTATTTATATTTTGGATTATAGTTTTTTAACAACATTTTTGGGGGGTGAAGTGGGGGTATATGGGAACCTATAATATCAATTATAATATAATCTGTTAATTGCGTTGTATTTAAAATTGAGTAATAAGTCTATTATTTTTGTGTTTTTTTTACTTTAGTATTGTAATGTATATTTTGTGTTGTGTGTGTTGTATGTTATGTTTGTGATAAATGTTGAAAATTAATTTTAAAAATTGGAGGGGAAGAAGAAGTTAACCCATCAGGTGGGGAGAGCCAGTTGCGAGGGACATGGGGAACCCTTGCACCGTTTCTGCAGGTCCCCCATCTGCATTGTCTGCAAGAGGTCGAAAGAGCACATGAACTGATTAATCTGGACCAGGCTTCACAGTGGTTGAAGCAAATAGTGCAGTTTCTGGTGCAAGAGAGACGAGTGATTATGGAATTGAAACTGGCTGAAGAAGAAAAAGCCAGGCATACTGGGTCCTACCGCGCCGGCGACGCGGGGACCCTTAAAAACCACGGGCACGGAGTCCGTGGACATGGGTGACTCGGCTTGCACCATTAGCGCCCTCCCGACTCGTGAAGGAGCCTTTTTAAAGGCTTCGGATCGGGTGCCGGGGAGCGGCGTGGTGCTTTGAGTCCTCTGCTTCCCCTGCCGAGCGCAGCCGCATGCCATTCGACGGAGAGCGCTGACTTCTTCCATTGAAAATTTGGACTATTAACAACAACCCGTGAGTAATTGGGAAACCGGGTTCAAAATTTCGGATTTGGCACGAGCGGGGCGATTTAAAAGGAAGTCAATCCCCCTACTGTAAGCATTCCAAAACAAGGACTGGGTAACCAAGGTCCAAAGGGAAGTATATTCTTGATAAAAACCATTAATTTCACGATGGGAAATTATAAGAACTGTGCTGGAGGAGAAGAGTGGAGGGTGAGAAGAAAATGCAACCCCCCCCCCCTGGGAACCGGGGCGATTCGTGGAGCCTGGTGAAGAGAGACGGAGACTTTGACAGCTGTCAAAGTGGCTGTCAAAGTTGGAGAATATAAAGAGGACTTTGTTATGAGGACTTTGCCGGTTAATTTTGCTACAATTTGCTACAATATGGATATAAACTGTTGGAAAATAAGCAACAATTTGACTTTTGGATTAGAGGATACAAAGTTATTACAATCCCCTAGAGGGGTTTCGGGATATTACAAGAACGGTCGTAAGTGGAAAAATACTCTGGGATTCGCACAGGACTTGTTATCTTTTGGGAAAGCTGCAAAACTGAAATAGTATTTTGTCTACAGAGGTATTTACATTAAAGGAGACAATAGAATTCTCTATTGAAGAAAGGAAGGGACTGGACGTAAGTTTTTGTTCCTGAATAACAAACCTCTGCAGAGATACCAGATTTCTGAATTAGAAAGTTTTAGCAGCTGAACAGGATAAGAAACCTGAGAAAGTGAGGAAAAGAAGAACAAAGGACTGATTACGACACGGAAAGAACAACGGGAGGAGTGGTAAAGATCAAGGAAATTAAAGGCCTTTGTTAGATTGGACACTTGAAGTTACATATTATTAATAAATTAAAAGAAAACCGGCAAGATGGAATCGGGAGAAATTTGGTCATGAATTGAGACTTCCAAGCTGATAATGCATAGACTGATGGATATGGGGAATTCAAACCGGGAAGGGGAGATTTGAAATCCAAAGGCTGTGTAACCATCTTTTGAATTTTTCTATATCTTTTATTTATTTATTTTTTACATAACTTACGCATGTCATTCTATTTTGATTGGACGTGTTTAAAAAAAGGGAATTCGTGGAAGGAACTGGGGTGGATCTTGGGGAAAATCTTTTTTCTTTCTTGTTAATGATGTGGGACGGTGGTAAGATTTGTATAATTCAATTTGGATAGTGGGTTAAACAAATTAAGCTTCAAATTGGGAGTGAGAGCTTGTAGAACTAAATTAAGGAAAGGGGAATACAGTTGGGGGGGGAGGGGGGGAGTCCCAGAAAGTAGGCAATGAAAGTAAGGTTTTTAAATGTCTTTTTTTCTTTTTCTTTCTTTTCTTTGTATTTTTATATTTTTGGAAACTTTAATAAATATGATTTAAAAAAAAAAAGAAGAAAAAGCCAGGCATATCCGGCGGAGCTAGGAGGAGGAGAAGAACAAGATCATGGGCGCTTTTGAACAGATGCACAACTTCCTGGAGGAGCTGCATCGCTTTTGGCTGACTGAACTGGAGGATCTGGAGAAGGTGATGAAGAAGAAAAAGGAAATAAATGTCGTCAAGCTTTCAGAGGATATCGCCAGTCTCAGTGTGAGACGCACAGAAACGGAGAAGAAGTACCACCTGCCCGCTATTGAGTTCCTGAAGGGCATCGGGACTACGGTGACCACGTTTCAGGAGCTGAAAAGAAGGTGGACACTGCTGGGAATCTCTCCAGGCATGGAAGAGAGACTCATAATTTACACTCAGAAAAATTCATTTCAGAAGGATACCTTGGAGAAATGCAAAGGGCTACCGATGCAGGCACTGAACAAAGTGAGTGTCACTCTGGAGCCAGGAGCAGAACACCCTTTTCTTGTTATAACCTGAAGAGTTTGAGAAGAAGAAGAAGAAGAAGAGGAAGGCAGGACGCGCTGGACAACCCTGGGAGATTCGACAGCATGCTCTACGTGCTGGGCCATGCAAAATTCACTTCAGGATGATATTGGTGGGAGGTGGTGGTAGAAGAGGAGGAGAAGGAGGAAAGGGAATGGGCCACCTGGGCCGTAGGGGTTGCAAAAGAGTCTGTCAGGCGCAAAGGCTTTGTCAGCATGCTTCCTTCTGAGGGGATCTGGGCCATTGGGAAGGCAAAGGATGAGTCAGCCTCATCTGATCCCTTCTGGGCTTCAACCCACCCTGAGTGGATCCCTTTGAGATTGAGTTATGAGCCCAGGAAGATCTGGGTGTCCCTAGACTATGATGAGGGTCGTGTGGAATTCTATGATGCCCACACTAATGGTTTGATCTTCAATTTCCAACAAGCCTCATTCTCTGGGGAGAAGGTTCAGCCCTTTTCCCATGCTTGGTGGGGAGTTGGTCTGAAGTGTTGATTCCTGGGGACGATCCTCACCACTCCCAGCTCTTCCACCCCCACCCTGAGAGAAGGTGGCAGCCTAGCATTTTCTTTGCAGTGTTATGAGTTTGTGGGTGGCAGAAATTCTAAATTTCTGGATCCAGTAAATGTTAGAATTTAATCTGCGTGTGGTGTGTTAGAACTGGATGCCAGACAGTAGGTTTAGCAAGCATTAAAATACAAGCCAGGCCAGCTTCCCCATGTCGGGAAAGTGCCTGGGAGACGAGCCATGGCTCCCACACCATTATTTTGTACAACTTTATTTTGTACCACTTTATTTTGTGCAACTGAAAAACTTTAAAATGTTAATAATAGAAGAACTATGTGGTGGAAGGAAGAAAAGAAGGAAGGAATGAACCATTAAGAAAAGTCAAGGAGAATGGGTTTCTGGACTGTATACCTGTTGGGTGGGGCCCTTTCTGCAGTTCTGAGTTAGTTCAGAAAACAAAGGAGAGTTTGAAAGGAGAGTCTTTACAATTGGTGACCTAGGGGGAAGAAGTTGCAGTCTGGTAAAGGTGGCAAGCTGGGGAGAGGGTCAGAGCACGATGGTTGATGTTATTTTGAATCCTAAACTGCAGCTATGGAAGAATTTGTTCTTTGAAAAATGAAAAATAAAAAACCCTTAAAAAAAAAAGAGGAAGAGGGGGGGGAAACCAGGTGTACAAAGGAAATTGAATAATATTGTATAAAAAGGATAATATAAGAGCATTTACTTAGAAGACTTTGAAATTGAGGTAAAATAATGTAAGCAGAATTAGTAAATACTTAAAGAACCAGAAAGGGAAGTTGAGGGGAGTCTTTGGGTGGGGGGAGAACTGGATTTTATCTCATCCTTTTCTCTTCTTATGTTTAAGATAATTATGCTGATTTTAACATTGTGTAACTGTAAAACCCAATTTAAAAAATTTAAAGAGGAAGAGGAAGAGGAGGAAAACTACCGCTCAACTTTATGATCAGTGAAAATATTTGCTACTGCAAAGTTAGCATTTCTGTTTTTAAAATATATACATGGGGCTTTTTTGCAAAGAGAAGCATTTTCTGCGTGCACACAATAGAGAATCAACCAGGCTGGCAAGCAAGGGGCAGTATCGATCTTTCTCTCTCAAGGTTGCTTGCTTGCTTCTCCCGCCTTAAGGAAGAAAATCTTGCCCTTCCTGCAAATCCCTGCTGGTTTCTCCTCCTTCATGTCCATGAAAGGAATCAGCCCCGTCTGATCAGTCAGGATCTGCTAGGAAGCAAACTGTGTGCTGCCTCTCTGATCAGAGCCTCACCATCACCCAGGGAACGAACAACAGAACGAAGCCCCTCGGCCAGTGACTCCTGCTGCACAGGCCTTCAATAAAATGTGATGAGTCTTCCCAAAACAAGAAAACAAGAGCCCGGCTCAGGAGAAGCCCAAGAACCTCCTTCCCAGGGGAAAGGATCAGATGTTGTAACCCCGTGCATCTAGTAATGGAGAGGACTCCACCATTCTCTTCCAGATAAACTGTAGAACATGGGTCTCAGATTTGGAAGGAGGTAGACTCCACCGTGGGAGCAGGGCCGGGGCGGGAGAGTGCTAGTGTCCTGTCTAGTCATGTTATACGGGATCAATTCCAATCTGTTATCTCTTAGGTGAAACCAACCACCTGTCTTCTTGATCCTTGTCCATCCTGGCTGATAAAAGCAAGCCGGGAACAATGATGCCCTGTGCCAGGCCAAACAAGAAGCGAATGAGTACCGCAGGCAACTTCAGAGTCTCACCTGTGAAGTGGATGCACTTAAAGGAACTAATGAATCCCTTGAACGTCACATGCGTGAGATGGAGGAGAACTTTAATCTTGAAGCAGCTAACTACCAAGACAACATTACCCGACTCCAGGAAGTGATCCAAAACATGAAGGAAGAAATGGCTTGCCATCGGCACGAATACCAAGACCTGCTGAATGTAAAGATGGCTCTTGATATTGAGATTGCCACTTACAGGAAACTGCGGGAAGGAGAAGAGAGCAGAATCACAATGCCCATTCCGACTTTTGCATCCCTAAACCTGACTTGTCCTGTTCTCAGATTGGAGACAGCTCCCACCTCCTTCTCCCCAACCTGTGGAAGGACCAGACTCAAATTCCTCACCTCTTGACCCCTCAGCAAAGGTCCAAGCTACAACCCCAGGGTGAAGTGCAAACCTCAACCCCAAAAGTCATGTGTCCATAATGAAGCAGTCAGAGGCTGCTATCTAAAGAAGTTTCTCCCATTTCTAGGAAGGCCACTTCAACTTCATCTAGCGCTCAGTCGCTTTCTTCACTGTCTTCCCAGTGCTCCTGGGCAAGCTCTACGGGCTCACTGACATCCCTGAGGTCCATAGACTATGCTGCCAACCACAGGGCAGACGATTTCTGCAAGCTGAACAAGGAGAGGGAATTGCACTACTTTGTCATCCAGTTCAAGCTGAATCACATGATTTCCATGCTGTCTAGGACGGGCAACAAGGCAGAAAACTACATAGGCTGCCGCCCAGTGAGGTGCAACTTAAATCCTAGGCAGCGGATTAGCACAAGCCTCATAAACCTCAGAGACTTTGTACTGTATTCATCAAATGTCTGCTTCTCAGAAATGGGATCGTGAGAACTGGCACACATAATTGCCATACAGAGGGTGCTGCTGGCTTGGTGGTGGTTGCTTTTTTAACTTGGCAGCCCAGCCATCTTTGTGATACTGCAAGCCTTTCTCAGGCTTTGCCGTGCCATGGAGAAGAATGGTTTGGAATGCCAACCAATATGCACATTTTACCTTGTGGCACAAAGGCAGCCATCGCATGGAAACACCTTCACGTTGCTCTTTGTGGCTTACATTTTGTGTGTGTCACTTGTAAGTGCTCCAGGCTTCACACTTGGTCAATTCTCTACTGCCCTTACAAATGTTGCTTTTTTGGTCTGAGATATCATGGGCTAACTTGGTTTCATCAAGGGACTATAATATTAGCCGTTTAGAAAGTGCAAACAGAAAGTGTTTGCAACTGTGATTGTAGTAATCATCTTTTTAAAATATAAACATTGCAAGTTCTTCCACAGTTTCTGTATGCACATCAGCTTTATGTAATAAATAAATCATCATCATCATCTTTATACCCCACCTATTTGGCTGGCTTTCCCAAGGGACTTTGGGGGGCTTAGAGCATATCTAAAAACATAAAGCATTAAAAATCTCCTGATACACGGCTCAGGAGATTGAGAGGGAGAAGAAAGAGAAGGCAGGAAGGGTAACCATGTCAGACCACTAACTCCTCAAAATACAAATGTCTTCCGGATAGATTGCCCATAAACTCCACACTTGGTCCAAAACGGTTACCTCTTCCATGCTTAGCTAATCTGTTTCTCCTTCCCTCTCTGAGGAAAAAAACCTATACCTTTTCCCCGTACAAATGTTTAACTTTAACATATAAAATGCACACTAATATAAGCAACATCAAAATACCAAAAACCAGTATAATCACAGGCTGCCAAGCCTGATTTAAATGTTGGTCATGGTAGGGCTCCAGCCTGAAAAGATGTCCCACAAATGGATTTTTCATTCTCTCTGCAAGAGGAGAGAAGTGAATGGCAGTGCTACATCTGGCGCAGTCATTAGGGAGGTGCAATCAGGGATTAAAAACAAAAAAGAGGACGGGATCCTAACAGCCAGAAAGGGTGCTCTGCTTGGAAAGGAGCAAAGAGCTGGCTGCTCCATCTTGTCCTGCTTCTGCTGCTGGTTTTGGGTTTGCTGGAGAAATATCAAATACTCTTATATACAACCCTTTATCCCCCTACTTCTCTCCCCCTGCCTTCCCTTCTGAAATGCAGTGGCAAAGGTCTAAATTAAAACCCCAGGATGAAGCGCAAACCTCAACCCCTCAGGCCATGTGTCGTTAACTAAGTTTTAGAGTCAGTGGAAATATTTGCTACTTCAATGGTACTATTTTCCTAATATACAATTACAGGGTTTTGCACAGTTTCTGGGCTTTTCTACACCAAGATTGATCTTTCCTCCTTTATTATATTTATTCCTCTCACCATAACAGGTTTCCAAACAAATAAACAACTTTTAACCAAGAGGAAGCAACCAGAATGATTGGCAACTCTAACTAGAGCAAACTAGAGCAAAATCCTCAGGTTTTTTAAACCATATTTTAAGCCAGTCTATGGGACCAAACAATTAATTTGGCTCAGGGCCCAGGCAGCCGAGTGGGATATACAACAGATGTAGATGAACACATCTAGGTCACATGGAGAAACCTGACCACACAGTGCCAAGGAAATGGGACTGGCCAGCGAGGCAAAGATGGAGGAGAAATTGGAATGTTAATTACCCCCCCCAAAAAAAAAATCTGGGGCAAACTGGTGGAGACGATAGTGGTGGGGAAGCTACAAGAATTATTGGAAAACACAGAGAATTAAATGCATTCCCATCTAGGTTGAATCCTGGCCATGGGGGCTCAATACACCCAATATTGAGGGGGCCAACATCCCCCGTCGGGTTGCTGTTATGGGGAAGCAAATGACAGCCACCATCAGCTGTAAGAGACGCATGCCATAGGTAGCTGAGCGGGACATGTGGCAGATGTGGACAGACACATCTCGGTCACATCAAGAGATATAACTTCACAGAAAAGTGGGACTGGCAAGGAAATGGCCCACTAGTCGTGGATGAGGGAGAGGAATGGGAAGTTCAGATGTGTAGTTCAGATTCTGCAGTTTGATTGCACCCAAATGGCAGAACATTCAGACTGCCAAGTAAGGCAAGTAAGCCCTAACAGAATAATCAGGAAAAACAAAGCAATAATCACCACATCTGAATACAGTCTATGGCACAAAACCATTAAATTCTTCATGCCCCTGCTATTTGCAGAATCTACTGATCCCAAGAGAGCTAAATCTCTGCTGAGGACTTGTTGCCTCAGTTGGTTGGAATCACTGACTGCAGGTACAAGGCAGGGCACGCTGAGCAGACCTCCTGGCCACCCAGGGCTTTAGCCCCCTCAGTATTTCTAAATAGTCCGCAACACTGTCAACTTGAATGTGCTGGACATCTGTGGTTTTCTGCCTCCCCCCCCCCACCTTCTTTTACTCCCACTTTCCTCCTCCATATCCTAAAGCTTTCCTCTTCATAGCTGCTGCTCAAGTACTATCTTTCCTTTGAAAATAAAAAATTGCAGGTTTCTCCACAGTTTCTGTACATACATCAGCAATATCTATGCTTCAGCCCCTTCCTACACCAAAATGGATTCCGTTCCAAACATGCCTTCAGGTGGTACAGCCACACAGTTCACACCCTACCCTTAATGACCCTTTCAGTTATTGCACACACTCCAAATTTGCGGAGGATACACCTGTGTTACTCGCAGCCAGGTATTCCCAAACCCCTCAACACAAATGTCCCTTCTCCTTTTCTGCACCCCGATTCAATCCCTTGCCAACACCTCACCAAAAGATGCAGCCACACAACTCAGACCTTATATAATCCATGGATAAAATATAAATATCTCCTGGAAACTACAACTCCTTGGTGCATTTCACACATTGAAGCCTTTGGCGTTAAGAAGAAAAACATGAAGGGAAATTGGGCAAAATATAAAATGTTATTAGAGGGGGAAATTAATAAATTAAGAGGAAAGGACTCTGACATCCATATATATTTGACAGGCTGGCTCCAATACTTCCAAGTGAATGAAAGACAAGGAAAATAGGGTTTGCTGGAGAAATATCAAAACTAAGGGGAACTCTAACCCAGCCTAAAGGAAATATCTATCTAAAATGTATAATCTCCGCCACAATTCACACCCTGCCATCAAAGAACTTTTGTCTCACTTAAAGCGCTCATCCTTTTCTGAGGATGCAAACCTCAGAACACATAGGGACAGAGGAAGCTAAAGGGACAGGCCGCACAACAAGCCAGTGACTTCTGTCTTGCAGGTAGATTTCTCGGATGACCCAGACCTTTTCTCAAAAGGGGGGGGGGAGAGGAAGAACCGCTGGAATACCGAGATGAAGAGGAGGAGGAAGAAGAGGAGTACGACAAGATTGGTAACCACAGAATGCTTTCCAGTATTGAAGTTATAAGAGATGCATTCTGACAAAACAAAAAGCTTAGTACCAAAAAAAAAAAAAAAGGTTATAGTGTAGGTGCTCACTTTTGTTGTTGCCTTGTTCAATGGTCTGACACTGCTGCAACGGCTCTGATTCTGCTCTTCACTATTCCCCTTCTTAATGAAAAGCACCAGGTGGAAACTGACCATTCTTGTGAACCAGAATCTCAGAAATGCACTGGCAAAAGTCCCAAGTTAAACCCAGGGGTGAAGCGCAAACCTCAACCCCTCAAGTCAAGTTCTACACTCAGTGCTAATATTTTGGTACTGCAATTGTACTATTGTTCTTTTTAAGATATAAAATTGCAGGTTTCCCCCCAGTTTCTGTACATACATCAGCTATATGTACGCTGCGCCCTCTTTCTACGCCAGGATTGTCTTACAAACACGCCATCAGGTGGTACAGTCACACAACCCAAACCCTGCAATTAAAGAACTCCTGTCAAGACACTTCTGAAGTGGCCTGCAAGTATTTCACTGAACTGCCAGTGCCCACTTTTGGAACAACGGCCACCTCCAGGAAGTGTGCAATTCCAGAAAGGCGATCAACCCAGTGTGATCCAGCAGCAGCTACTATGCAGTCGTCTGCTGTCACTTGGATCAGAGAAAAGACAACATACAAGAAAAAGGTGTCTGCATCTGAGAACCTTGGCTGGAACATGCCAGGTGTGTGTGGTTGTCTGTCTTCCCAGGCTCCTTATGTTCCCCATTTACTCCTCCTTGCCCTACAACTCTCATCATAACAGGTTTCCAAACAAATAAACAACTTTTAAACAAGAGGAAGGAACCAGAATGATTGGCAACTCTAACTAGAGCAAACTAGAGCAAAATCCTCAGTTTTTTAAACCACATCTTAAGCCAGCCTATGAGACCAGATAATAAATTTGACTCAGGGTGCAGGTAGCCAGATGTCGCCGCCAGATCGCCCTCACATCTTTCCCTCGACTCCCCCTCTGCGTTGGCTTCCTCTCCCACTTGACTCCTTGGTATACTGCAGAACTTAGGGAAAGGAAACAAGTTGAAAGATGGCTCCGCGCAAGTGGAGGAAAGATCTGGCTGCATACAACTGAACAGTGGTGTGGTCTCATCATTAAGCATACATAGTGGTATTGAAGTTAGCAGTACTACTCAGCTACAAGTGATCGCCAAAGAAGAAGAAAGACAGTCTGACTCAAGGAGGTGGTGGAACCAATGGTAGCTATGTGTAACCACTGTGACTTGTTTGCAAAGCATTTTGAGGATAAAACCACTTGCATCCACTGAGATCTTGACTCTGCTGTTATAGCAGATGAGTCTCATGGGTGTCCAGAGCACTGTCTAGTCCTGTTGTTTTGGATAATTTTCAGATAGTAAGGCTTGAGGATGTGGACAAGGTGTTTGTATTAGTCAGGGCAACGACTTGTGCTTCAGACTCTTACCCTTCTTGGCTGATAAAAACTAGTGGGGGTGGTGGTAATTGACTGGGTCAGGAAGAGTGTTCCTATTTCCATCTGAAATGCAGGACAGCATAGCATTCTGATCCAAGTTTCATTAAGAAAACATTATCCATAATATCAGCAGCAGGCAGCTGCAGTCAAATTGGCCAGTCAGAATGGAAAATCCTATTTTAACAAAACCAATAAAAGAGAGCGGCAATACTATTTTCTTGTTTTCCTTGTTCAACTACAATTCCATAAAACAGTGGATTTGTAAAGGTACCCCTGCCTGTACGGGCCAGTCTTGACAGACTGGATTTGTAGGTTCTCATTAATAAAAAATAAATAAAGGGTGTGAGGGGTGGGTGGGATCGATGTGCCTATACTTCTTAATTCCACCCCTGGGCCTTTTCTATACTGAAAATAGTGTTAATTTGTTCCCCTTCCACTGCTGTAAATATTGCTCGCTTAGAAAATAAGTGATTTACTTGACTGGAACAAAATCCATCTTGTGTCTCCAAGTGGTTTAGGGTTGTATGATCTATGTCTGGATTGGCCCACTTAATGCTATTTATTGCTCTATGAATGATATTAAGATGGATTTCTTAAGTCTGGTAGAATTACTTTTTCTTCTTTTGTGCAATTTTTACTTGCCATAGCAAACAAGACTTTGTCCATGTACCCATATAAAATAACTATTATCGTTCTTTTCCTCTGCATCTTTAAAGCATAAAAATTATTGGCTTTGAGGCAACAATGACAGAATGTGCTGACATCAGAAAAATGCCAGCTCCAGCCCAACCAGAAGTAAAATGTATAGGGCATATTGAGAGATGGGTGGCAAAGCTGTGCATATGCTTTGTCCTCCCCAGCAGTATATATTGTGGGAGAGTAGCTAGAGGAAGCAGAGAAAAGCTCCAACCAGTATTATTTTTTCTATTATTATTTTTTTAAATTTTGGAGTTTGCTTGTTTATTTTAAATTCAATTTGTAAAGGTCCTTTTAGAAACGAAAAGATACAAACTCAAGTTAAGCACATAGTTTGCTTTTAGTTCAACACTTTCTTCATCCATCAATTTTACCCCAAATCACAAAAGTAATATTACAAAGCTTTCGCAGTGCACGTTTACATATTCTGCATATACATCTATTCACTCTTCAAACAATACATTTCCATTGAATTTGGCTTAAAAAACAACAACACAGCCCCTACATCAGGCTGGAAATATGTAACGTTTTAAACCAATGTGTTTTTCCTCTTAAAAAAAGAAAATATATTACTTGGAAAGAAGCCCATATTACACTAATTCCCAAACAAGACACGGACATAAGGCAGGTGAAAAATTATAGGCCAATCTCGCTCCTAAATAATGATTACAAATTATTCGCCAGTATATTGGCCAATAGACTTAAAGATGTATTGGGAGAGGAGATTGGAAAGAACCAAACTGGATTTCTACCTGGTAGACAGATGAAGGACAATGTTAGAAATATAATTGATATGGTGGGCGCCGGGGCATTTTACCGACGGCTCGGAGCGCTGAGCGGGGGGGCGGCCGTCAGGGCGGCCGCCTATGGGGCTCACGAATTCCGTCGCAGCGACCGAGATGACTACTTGAAAGAGCTCTATGAGACGGCCAACAAATACCACTTCTTCCACAGCCTGGCCCTCCTGGCTGTGCCATGTTTATGTATGCCACAATGGCTGCTAGGACACTTCCGGCTCAGAAATGGAAGTAGCAGGAACTTCCAACACTGGAAGACCGGCAGGTCAAGATGATGGAGTTCGAAGACATAATCTGGACTCAGCATGACAAACTGTTTCAAAAGGACTGGAACAAATTTATATTTTATATGAAAGAAAATTGTAAACATTTGAAAACATTTGTAGGCTTGAATTGAAATGTTTTGTAATGTAACTATAAGGAACTGATTTACTGATAATAAGGTGAAATATTATAATTTGACAAAGGGTAAATAAGTGCTTATAGAAATGCGAAGAATATGGAAAGTTATGTGGAAGTCAGAAAGAGGGAGGGCAGGAGGTCGATGCTCTTACAGAGTAATATATTAAGTCATAGAATTATGTAACAAAAGGTGAATATGATTTAATGGAAAACTCAATAAAAATTACTTTAAAAAAATAAAAAGAGAAAATATATTAGGAGTGGCTTTTCTTTTAATAAGTTAATAAATGAACTACTTCATTGGCACAGCATCCAAATGAGGTGTAGTGGTTGTATAGTTCTTGATACGTTTTGTTTCATAGTTATATTTGGGTTGCTGCTTTTTTAAAAAAATGGTTAGCTTTTTGTATCATAAAGTTCACAAAACTGATTCCTAGTATACAACTGAAAGCAGAAATGGGGCACTTTTTTCCTTTTGCTTTGCTGCAGATATGCATGCTATTTTACCATAGCTTGCAGAATGGCATCATGGCACCTTTTTACTATGTATGTGAATTATTTAAAAAAACTGTTACTCGTTGACATTTTGTCTGGTCAATATATTTCAGCTTCATGTTTTCTTACGCGTATAATATATTTTCTATTTTTTAAAAAGTGCCAGAACTCATGAGCACTTCCCTTGTTCTCTAATGGTGCCCACCTGAGAGGTGCTGGATCTGTTCGAGCAACAGCCGCAACAAACGAGGGTTATTTACAAGATAGGGAATATAGAATGCAAAATGGTTGACAATTCAGACTGCCTGCTCTGGTCCAGTCCTGTACTGACAGTACCTTCCCAGAGTATGATATTGTGATGTTTCCTACATCTCAGCCTTTCAAACAGTGGCTTGAGTGGGTGGCACCAGTCGCAGATAAAGTGCCTTTGCCAGTGCAAGTGGGAGTTGGCCCCCTTCACACCTTTTGGACTTGGGAGCTTTCAGTGTGTTAAAAAGTCATTGTCCACCTAGACATAGGAGGCGATAGCAATGGGGCAGCTACAAGAATTCTTGGAAAACACAGATGATTTAAATCCATTCCCATCTGGGTTCAATCCTGGCCAAAGAACTGAGTCAGTCTTCGTCGCCCTGATGGATGACCTTTGCAGACAGGTGCCTATGAAAAACTAAGGGTTATGAGAATCGGAGGCAGTGTATCTTTACTTACTTGCTTCCATTTTTAAGGGGGGAAGAGAAGCATGCATGTGTGAAAAACAATGTTGTCCAATGAAATTTGATATTGTGTCACACCAGGCCCATAGATTTTTCAAGAAAAATTCAATGGTGCATACCAGGGTATCAGCCCGTGTGTAGTTCAGATTCTGCAGTTTGATTGCACCCAAAAGACAGAAGATGTAGACTGCTCTGCGTCAGAGCTGGCCCACACCTCCTTGCAGACATGCCTTAAACTTTAATACCATGGGGCTCCAACCATTTGTGCCATATGACCAAGCAAGGCATCTTTCCAGCTGCAGCAGCCCCATTTCCTTTGTAAAAGATGGAAAAAAACACAGTTCCATGGCAGAACAGGTAATGTCGTGTGAAAGAAACATCGGAAAAAATAAGAGAAGCCCTGACAAAATAATCAGGAACACCAAAACAATAATCACCACATCTAAATACAGCCTATAGCACAAAACCATTCAATTCTTCATGCCCCTGCTATTTGCAGAATCTACTGATCCCAGCAGAGCTAAATCTCTGCTGAGGACCTGTTGCCTCAGTTGGTGGGAATCACTGACTGCAGGTACAAGGCACGGCACACTGACCAGACTTCCTGGCCACCCAGGGCTTTATCCCCCTCAGTATTTCTAGACAATGTGCTCAGTTCCCCCAATATTTGGGGGCCCGGCATCCCCACTGCTGGGCTGTTGCTATGGGGCCGCACATGACAATCACCAGCAGCTGCGGGAAGCCCAGGGCCCTGTTAGCAGCAAGGGACATGCAACAAATATAAATGGCTGCGCCTGGTAGATGAGGCAAAGATGGATGAGAGCAAAGGGGAAACATTTGATTATATCTATTTGAATACTGCAGGGCATCATAACAGGTTTCCAAACAAATAAACAATTTTTAACCAAGAGGAAGGAATGATAGTCATCTAGAGCAAAATCTTTAGTTTTTTCATCACATCTTAAGGCAGCCTATGGGACAAAACAATAAATTTGGTGCAGGGCACAAGTAGCCGAGAGGGACACATTTCGGTCACATTGAGGAACATTGGAATGTTAATATCCCTCCCCCCATTTGGGACAAACTGGTGGAGGTGATAGTGATGGGGCAGCTACAAGAATTTTGGGGAAAATGAGTTTGCAAAACAACTAAGAGAACAAAGTAAAATATTTAGGACAAGCAAATAACTGGAGAACCAGTGATGGAAGTTTTTTGTTAAGAGAAAGAAAGACAAACATTGAAAGCAACAACATGCACAACTGGTTATAAAGTTGGGAATTGTGTTGAATGATGTGTGGATACTTTTGTATATATGTATAATGCTGTATTGTTTCTGTTCGAATGAGAGGGGTTGTTAGGAAAACATTCTTTAAGAAACAGATAAAAGTTCCTGGAAGCTTTAAAAAGGGTTCCAGAATTTTCTTTAGTGCATAGGAGTGGAACTCTAGGATTGATTGGTGTCCACTGGAGGTCCAAACAAAGAGAAGTTGCAGGCTGCAATGTCCGTACAAGGAAAGCACACTGACACCCAACACACACATACAAAGTATCAGCACACACACTGACAACAAGGTTGGAAGTAAGACAATGTGTGCAGCTGATACTGTGAGTTTTGCTGTGTCAGGATTGTAAATTACTAGACTGAGATTATACTGTGCTGGAGATACAAAGAAGGAATTTAAATTTGCAGTATCGCATTTAACTTGCCTTAAAAGGTGGAGAGAGAAATGTAGTATTTGCACTTACAAAAAAAGAAAAGATAAGAAAAGGAGGGCGGGGGAAAGAGCAAACCCTATCGAGTGAAAATTGTGTACGTCCTGCAACTTTGTATAACAATAGCTTAAAAACGAATAAGTGGCTTATTAATGAAGAAAGGAAAAAATCATTTTTTCCCTTTACCTTCTGGTAGGAAACCATTTTAATATTCTGTGTGTAAAAAGTCTCTGTATTACATTGTAATTTGATATTTTTGTAATTAAGACAAGAACCTTGTGCACTCTCAGAAAAAAGAACAAAAAAGAATTTAATCAGTAGTGGATCCGGGTGCGCGTGAGTGACCGGGGCTCCTGAGACCTCTAGTCATCTTTCGAATGGACAATGTTGAAACAGAGCTTTATCAAAAATGAATGCTGGTCTGTATGATCCCTATTGAAGGTTGTTATGATTTCTTCATTCCGTGGGGCTTGAATATAAAGTTATTTTTCACATCCAAAAAAAACAAAGAAAAAGAAAAACATTTGGATTTTCATTCGGTCTGCAAAAGGAGAGAAGAAAGATGCAGTGCTTCATCAGGCACAATCATTAGAGAGGTTCATTAAGGGATTAATTAACAAAAAAGAAGAGGGGATACTAACAGATAAAAAGGCTGCATCATACTATTGTTTGACTCGTGTTTCACAACCCTTTCATGTGCCTGTCCCTCTCTGAAAAGCTTAGTACAAAAATTGAAAAGCTTAGTACTAAAAAAAAAAGTTTATACTGTGGGTGTTCACCTGTGTTGGTGCCTTGTTCAATGGCCTGACACGGCTGCAATGGCTCTGATTTCACTCTTCACTATTCCCCTTCTTAATGAAAAGCACCAGGTGGAAATTGACCATTCTTGTGAACCAGAATCTCAGAAATGCAGTGGCAAAAGTCCCAAGTTAAACCCAGGGGTGAAGCGCAAACCTCCACCCCTCAAGTCAAGTTCAGAACCGATGGCCCAGCTGAGGGGAATGGAGCTTTTGCCTGGCCAAGCCGTCGAGTGCGTGCCGGGTCGTCCCCAGGGAGGATTCGTATTTCAGGAAAAGTATCCCCGAGTGGGTCACTCCATTGTTGCAGCCCCGCAGACTAGACGGCAGGAGTATGACTACAAGGGACCACTGCGATGACCAAGGGAGGTTCGGGCAGAGGACGTCATTTAATTAGAAATTCATTATATAAGGTCTGGGTGAGACATAGAAGGCTGTTAGAACAGAAAACCCCATGGTGGGTCTCACCGTTAGAAGTAATATCGGTTAAAAAGAAAAATATGATCGGAAGAATGGTGACATACCAGGCGCTCCTAAAAGAGGAACAGGGCCAATTAAAACTAAGACCATACGAAGAGGTGACCCAATACTGCAGCACATGGTTGCAATATCACCAAATTGCCCAAATATTCAATCAGGATAAAGAAATAGGATTTGAAAAAGAAGAATGAAATTACAAAAAGGATTATTACAAAACTCAAAAAAGAATATATCCAAAATGTTTAATTTATTATTAGAATTGGAGTTAAAGGATGAAGAAGTAAAACAAGTTATGACAAAATGGGCATGTGATATAGGATACGTAATTTGGCTGGACCAATGGGAGATATTATGGAAATGGGATATTAAATTTATGGTATGTTATACAATCAGAGAAAATTACATGAAAATGGTGTACCAATGGTACTTAACTCCGGTAAAATTGGCTAAAATTTACAAATTAAAATCAAATACCTGCTGGAGATGCAAAAAAGAAATAGGAACAATGTTTCACATGTGGTGGGAATGCCAACCTATTAAATAATTCTGGAATGAAATTTATGAAGAAATCAAAAAGATGTTTAAAATATCTTTCAGTCAAAAACCGGAGACATTACATTTGGGTATAATCACAAACGATATTCCCGACAATCAAAGGAAAGTATTCCTTTATGCAACGACAGCTGCCAGGATGCTTAGAGGAAACTGGAAAGGGAGAAAAATTCCATCAATGAAAGAATGTCAAATTAAATTTTGTGAATACATAAATCTGGCAAGACACACAGCGTTCATAAGGGGACAATCGGACCAGAAATTATTAAAAGAATGGGGATGTGCTAAAGTGTATATGAAAACACACTGTTCTGGAGTAAGCTTATCGGTATGTAATGAATGATGCTTTACAGGGTTAAAGTACAAAGATGGAAGTAATCTACATTAGACAAAACAATACAGTAAGAGTAAAAATTTTGAGGTCTTAGAACAAAGGAAGGAAATCAATATGTGTATATGTATGTGTTGATTAGATTAAATGATGATATGGTTTTATTTGTAGATGTATGCTTTTTGTCTTGTTTTTTACTTTGTTTTTCTTTCTTGTTTGTAGAGTATTATTTTGGATTTAATGTTTGTAATTTTTGTTATGATTTTGCATTGAAAATAAAATATTTTTTTAAAAAAAAAAAATTGGAAAACACAGATAATAAAATGCATTCCCATCTGGGTTGAATCCTGGCCATGGGGGCTCAATCCCCCCAATATTGAGGGGGCCGACATCCCCCGTTGGGTTGTTGTTACAGGGAAGCTACAAGAATTTTGGGGAAAAGGAGTTTGCAAAACAACTAAAGTCCCAAGTTAAACCCAGGGGTGAAGCGCAACCTCAACCCCTCGAGTCAAGTTCACAGCCGATGGCCCAGCCGAGGGGAATGGAGCTTTCGCCTGGCCAAGCAATCGAGTGGGTGCCGGGTCGTACCCAGAGAGGATTCCTATGTCGGGAAAAGTATCCCCGAGTAGGTCACTCCATTGATGCAGCCCTGCAGACTAGACGGGAGGAGTATGACTACAAGGGACCACCGCGATGACCAAGGCAGGTTCAGGCAGAGGACGACTATCGAGAGCTGGAGCGCCCGCCCCAGGAAAGTCGCCGACCAACGATGCCTAGCGCAGCCTGGGTTTACTCGCCAGAAAGGTCTTGGGAGCCCCGCGAGCTGGTTCGGTGGTACGAGGAAGAGGAGGGATACGGGCAGCATCTTACGAAGGGCAGGAACCTCAGCGTCCGGATGGACAAGCCCCGAGTTATTGCCCTGCCCCAAGGTACAGCTATGACCAAGCACCACAAGATGTGGTTCCAAGGCGCATTACTCGTGTGTTTACCCTGAGGGATTTTGACTTACATCTTTTCCCTGCGTATAAACCCCTCATGGATGTCTTGAGCTATCTGAATTTATTCAAACTAACATACCAGGAACTGGGGGCCCCTCAAGACTGTATATGTACATTCTGAAGGCGTTGATTGGTGGGGAGTTGGCGGATCTCATGGGCCATCTTCCTTTGTCCCACGCGCTAGACTATGAACCGTATAAACGCCTTGTTTTGCAAAGATATGGACTGCATGCGGAAAGCTACAGCCACACAACTCAGACCTTATATAAACCATGGATAAAATATAAATATCTCCTGGAACCTAGAAGCCCTTGGTGCATTTCACCCAGCAAAGCCTTTACCGTTAAGAAGAAAAACATGAAGGGAAATTGGGCAACATATAAAAAGTTATTAAAGGGGGGAATTAATAAATTAAGAGGAAAGGACTTTGAAATCCATATATATTTGACAGGATGGCTCCAATACTTCCAACTGAATGAAAGACAAGGAAAATAGGGTTTGCTGGAGAAATATCAAAACTAAAGAGAACTTAAACCCAGCCTAAAGGAAAATATCAATCTAAAATGTATAATCTCCTCCACAATTCACACCCTGCCATTATAGAACTTTTGTCTCACTTAAAACGCTCAACCTTTTCTGAGGATGCACACCTCAGAACACTTAGAGACAGAAAAAGCTGAAACATTCTGCAGCTTGATTGCCCCCCAATGGCAGAACATTCAGAGTGCTCCTTGCAGGCGTATCTTAAACTTTAATACCATGGGGCTCCAACCATTTGTGTCATATGACCAAGTAAGGCATCTTTCCAACTGCAGCAGCCCCATTTCCTTTGTAAAAGATGGCGAGGACAGGTAATGTACTTTGAAAGAAACATTGGGGGGGGGGCAGAACCCCTAACAGAATAATCAGGAACACCAAAACAATAATCAACACATCTAAATGCAGCCTTTGGCGCAAAACCATTAAATTTTTCATGCTCCTGCTATTTGCAGAATCTCCTAATCCCAGCAGAGCTAAATCTCTGCTGAGGACTTGTTGCCTCAGTTTGTCGGAATCACCCGCTGAAGGTACAAGGCAGGGCACACTGAACAGACCTTTGATTTTTTTGGTTTTGTTTTTTTTTTTGGTTTTGAAATAAAAAGAAATTGATTATGTTTCTAGGTATTTGGGCTATTATCCTGCCCAGCCCTGCTGTAGATCACCTAATGAAATCTTTCAGCCTAATATCTAATGACATTCCCAAAGACAAGAAAAATCTATTCCATTACACAACAGCAGCTGCCAGAATATCCCATCACTATTAGAATGGCAAAACAAACTCGGCGAGTTTGTAGAAACGTCAAAATTGACGGCAATTATTAGAGGCCACTCAAATCAGAGAATAACTAGAAAGTGGGATGGAGTGAAGGAAAACATGAAAAAATATGGTCCCGGAATTGAAATATTAATAGAGAATGTGTAAAACTTGAAGGTAAGCAAGAAAATAATAGAAGCAATTGAATAATTATTAAATTATAACAACACAACAAAGTGGAAGAAGTAAAATATTGAGATCACACATGGGTGAAGGGGAGTGGGGGTATATGGGAACCTTTAACATCATTTATAATATGATTTGCCTAGAGCAATTAGATATATTTTAACTTAGGTAATCTCTGTAATAAGCTTGTGTTAGAAAACGAATATGGATTTTGAATTTGATGTTTGTAATATTTTTTTTGGTTTGAAATAAAAATTAAAAAAAGAAAAAGAAACCATTTGCATCCACTGGAAGCAGCCAGCAAGTGATCCACAAGAGCCAGATTCTGGACTTGAAGAATCCCAAGCACATTTATCTTCATTTTTCATTCTGGCCAAAATTATGCCAATAACCTTAAACTAAATTTGGCATCAATTGTGTCTTTATTTGGGGAGGTCTTGGGGGTCTTAACACGCAAGGCACCAAAGTCAGCCGTGGAAATCTTGCAACACGTCATAGATTCCATAGGTCCTCTCCAGTTGTACAGAAGATAGAAGGAGAGAGATTAAAAAGACCTTGACCGGGAAGAGGATCAGATGTATCACCTCTGTGCATCCAGTAATGAAGAGACCACCATCATTCACTTCCAGATAAGCTGTAGAACATGGGTCTGGCCAGTCAGTTTCAGATGCCTTGACTGGTCTTCCAGAAACAACTTTCTGCCCTCAATGTTATTCTCTTCCAACAGCCTGAAAATAAAATTTGCAGGCCAGGGAGGGGGGGCAGTGAAAGCAAGCCCACTTTTTAATAACTATCATATTGCTGTATTAAACAAGAAGAAACTTTGCACAAGAAGATATTTTGTGGGGTTTGTGTGTGAGACTGGGCGGATTATTTTTTATTTTTTTAAAAAGCTCCGAACACTCAGATTCTTCATGCTAATTTACTGGTCAGGAGATTTCTTACTGAAATTGCACACTTCCAACATTGAAACAGCTTGTGACAAATGTGGACTGATCTGTCGTTTGCTCAGAAAAAAGGGCAAAAACAAAAAACCACAACTTTGCATATATGCAGCTTGTATGTATATTTTGGATTATAGTTTTTTAACATCATTTTTTGGGGGGGAGGGCACTTTCAAGAACATGAAAACTGAGGTGTCTTAGGGCTGTTTTGCCTCATGGCTTTTGTTGCTGAACCCTAATAGAGAGAACACATGTATCTCTTTTGGCAGGAAGGTTGATTTCTTCATCCATGAATCGTACTTCCTTTGGTGTGTTGTTGTTTTTCTATAAAACTTTTCATACATGCTTTTTGCATAATAAATCTTAAGCTGGTTTTTCTTTAAAAAATCAAATATATATATATATATATATATATATATATATATATATATACACACACACATATATATACACTGCAATTTCTGCTGCAGTTTCTCAACATACATCAGCAGAGTTAATGCTTCAAGAGGAGAGAAGTGAACGGCAGTGCTTCATCAGGCGCAGTCCAAAGGGTGTATACATGTGTTCTCTCTATT